TGCCTGCGGGGCGCGCTTCACACTTTCCCCAGACGATCCCAAGACACAATCCTACCGTTTCTTGCCGTGGCAGTGGGTCTTTCAGTTTCATTATCTGACGTCTTATGGTTGCATCCGGCCTGTGTGCGACTCCAACTCCAAGTGGTGCGAGAAGGCGGCCAACGACCTCCTAGACGTTTTTGACGTACGGGATCGCTCGCCAGTGCGTCTCAGCACGTCCAGAAAGCGTCCTTACGCGACTGCGCTTGTGGCTGATTGGGTGGTTGCTGTTGAAGTTCAGTACTTACATCGTATTTATCGCTTTCCTGAATACTTTGGTTTTTAGGCCACCACAATCTTTGCGACAGACGAGGACATAAAGGAAGGCCAGCTTCTTGTTCTCTTCCTCCTCCATCGTAAATTGTATGTCCGGAATGATGCTGTTGAGATGTTCCTTGAACGTGAGCACCTGATTACATTCGATGACGACGAAGGTATCATCCTAATACCGCGCCCAGAATTTTGGTCCTTGTTGTACATTGTGCAGTAATGACTGTATCCTATAAATACTGCAACCTCCTGTGCATGTATTACCCGCGTCTGCTGCTGTTTTTTGCTGATTTCTCTGATGAAGAAGCCGCGACGGATGTCGAACTGCCAGGCGAATAAAAGTGTTGTCCCAGCATTCAAATTTTTTTCTTCTCAATTAATTTCTGCAATTCGCATGTTCGATTGTATTGGCAATGAAAGAAGAATTGGATGACAAGGAAAGTAGTCGCCATTTTGTAAAACACCACTGCAAACCCTATATGACTAGCTTATTCATTTTTATTCCCTACAAGTAGGTCCAAATTAGAGGTGTAGACAGATTTATTTCCCTCGTTTCCTCTCAAAATGTTGTATGGTAATTCAAGAAATTAGTCTCAGTCGAATGTTCCTTAGTGCTGCTTCTATCCGTAATACCAGTCTACCACACTATACCATAAAGTACAGGCTAAGCTTCAGCATAGAATGCGAGGGAGAGGTCATTACACTAGATAATAGGGGAGTGAGGGGAACAGTGAACGACAGTGACCGATAGCATCAAACTAAACAGCTGCTTACGGGCCTTAAGAGTGAGTTTCAAGGCACGACGGGAAGAGTGAGTCTCGATTGCGGAGTGCCTATCTACCATTGTTTATAGTTCCGATCGAAGCCGGAGGGGCAATGAGTCCGTGGCGCAGTAGTTAGAGCGTTGGACGTCTAGCTAACAAGGTCGCGGATTCGAGCCTCGAGTGCCGGAACAACTGAAATTGGGTATAACTGGCTGATGATGGCTAATAAACCAAAAATGGCCATTTCAGTGTTCCTTGTCTTTACCAGCAATGTCATTCTGCATATTTTATTCGCTGCTGTACGACGGCTGGCAGGGCTGAAACGTAAGCCTCAAGGCACGATGGGACGAGCGATTTCTGTAATAGGTCGGCGAGCGCCTAGGTAATATTGCCAAAATGTAAAGTGTTGACTCAGAGTGAATGAAATAGGAACAACTGTGTTCTCAAGCTCTCTATTGTCATTATGACCTGCTTGGTGGGTGTTTGCGAGTTCGGGACCCCTAGAACCAGAGTGCACCGACTGACCCCAGAATCGGCGTGAAACTGGTCTCGGAACAACGTGAAAGATGGAGTTCGATTGCGACAGAGGTATCCCAAAAACGAGAATTATTCATTTAATTTAAAACACATTTAAGATGTCCTCTAGATGAGGTGCACGTGTCTTAACAGTTTTTGCAGAGCTCCAAACATTTTTATATTCTTCTGAAATAATGCTGTTAATTGACTAACCCGTTTCTGCTACTGCTCTTTGACTATGTCTCTGATGACGAATTCGCGACGGATCTCGAAACGTAAGGCAAGTAAAAGTATTGTCCCAGCGATCGAGTCGTCGTCTTCTCAATTATTTCTCGGGACTCGCATGTTCGATTGTATTCTGAAATGCGTTTTTAATTAGGAAAGATTACGTAAGTAAAGTTATAATATTTTTACTACTATTTTTCAGTGCCCCTATAAAATGTAATATATTTTATAAAAGAAATACCCGAATTATCCCTTCGTAAATTTGCTCGAAGGAAGGTCAGGTTTCATGGTTAAACAAGTTACCCATTATGAAATGTGTTTTCAAGCTTGTGCAATGTCCATTAAAATATCTTCCACAAGGATTTCGGCCGTCATGATTTTCGCAGTTTTGATGTCCAACTTTCGCATCGGATAAACCGTTTTTAGCGGTCATCAAGGTAACTGATTTCGGCTAAAGGGGATTCAACTGGTGGAACTGTCACATGGAACACAGTGTAATATACTTCCAAGGTATTTCATCTACGTCAGAATATCGGCATTTAAAAATACGAGTTTCCGACCACGTACTAAAATAGACCCCGCGAAAGGAACACTAAAGTAAAATGATTTTTTCCATTATTCTCTGATGCCTTTATAAATCCAAATACACTTTACTGAAAGCTTACACATAATATCCATGCTTGCACTTATTTTGCAGTAACCATCGTCTTCTTGAGGTCTTTCGATTCGTCGGAACAACCGTTCCCTTTGTTTTAAAAACAGTTTGTAATTTGGGGCACTCCACGATTACGGGGTGTGCGTTTTTAAATGCCATGTTATCTCGACATAAAATACGATCACTGAAATAAGATTTCCTTTCTTCTGACGTTTCGTATTCACGCTTAAACCTATCACCAGAGACCGCAGAGGGGCAGTGTACTTATGAAGTAAACAAAAATATTATTTTTAATGGCAGAAATTAGTGACAGCCAAATGGCACCTACTTACAAGCACAGAACACCCTGTATATTCTCCTAAACGCCAGATCACAGGTCGGATACAAAGTGCTTCGGCAAAGGAATAATCTTTTAGAACTGGCACATAGTATTTTCTACTGAAGGGAGTTGTAAAT